AGGCATGACGAAGCAGATATCGTCCTCTTTTGGAAGACCAAACAAAGTAGTTTCGCTTTCACAACGAAGCACACAGTGTCTTCAGGACATGGCAGCAGCAACAATGCTACAGTGAGAATAAAAGTAACGCCTTCTTTCTTTGCGTGAACATTTGGGCGGCGTTATGCAAATCTTCCCAGATCGTGACGTAGGTATGTGGGGGCGTGTTAGAACGAGCCGTTTTAGGTAGGCGTGGTTAACTCTTAACTTTTATAAAGAATATCTCTTTGGTTTTGAGACTTTAGTGTTTGCAACTTTACAGATCTTCTTTATGCACCAAGAGCTTGTAACACTCCAAAGAGAAAGGACAAATTGAAATCGCATCATATGACCCCTTTAACACACGGATTGTGAGTCTTGTGATTCACACCAAACTCAGTCAACATGATGCCAAGACATTGGACTTTGGATATCCTGAAAGGTGTTGCCATGGCGAAGGATTAAAATAATGACAAAGAGGGGAAACAGGAAGAGTGCCATATTGTCTCAAAGTGCATTGTCCAAACTTCTCAATACTTTGTACATATGGAGAACATTTTGAGGAAACATGCTGAGGTTCACTGGCAATATAGGTTTTATATAAATATTTTACAAATGCTTATAGGTAATTAAAATAATTTAAAAATGTAGCGGAGTCATGCTACAACTCTATATTACACTGGTTGAGGCGGCCACATGTAGAATCAGAGATTGGAGACCGATTCTTCACAAAGATGCATTTATTGAACAGTCTTTGTGTTGTCATCTGCACCAATTATTCTTTGGCAATGATATCTGTATTAATGGTCTAAAGGAACAATAAAGAAATATAATTACAACCATATTCTGACAACCATTTTCACACTGACATGATAATCAAACATATACAAATAAAGACTGATTGGACAATCAAGTCTGCATCCTTAAAGGGTTAGTTCACCCAAAAATGAAAATTAGCCCATGAATTACTCACCCTCAAGGCATCCAAGGTGTATATGACTTTCTTCTTTCGGACGAATTCAATCGGAGTTATTAAAAATTGTCTTTGATCTTCCAAGCTGTTTAATGGCAGTCAGCGGGTGTTGCAGTGCATCAGTCCAAAATAAATTAAATAAAGCGCATCCATCCATAATAAAAAAAAAAAGTGTCTCACACAGCTCCGGGGGGTGAACAAAGTCCTCCTGTAGCAAATCGATGCGTTTTTGTAAGAAAAATATCCATATTCAAAACGTAATAATCACTTTAATCTAGCTTGCGCCAACAGTTGTACACGGAAGCAGCTCCGGGAGGATAACGTAAGATGTCAGCGTTGCGCATTAATAACAACCTAATCAATGCAAATAGGCATGATATAGTTGTGCAATGACGCGTTATTATTGTAAGCACATTACACAACACATATTATTGTACTGTGACGCAGTATAATATAAGCTACTGCCAATGCTAATACTAATTAGCGTGTTTCTCTCACGGCAAGTTACGGCCGCTACGGTGCTTAGAACTCGCCCATAACCGCAAACAATCGCGGGACATCAATAACATATACTAGATGAACATACACATGCAGATGTACTTACATCAAGGCATAAAACGCATTATACAGAGCATAAACAAGCGTGCAGAGATGGGCATTCACCAAACTGTCTTCCTGTGTGCAACACTGTAAATCAGTCCATGTGCATTGCAACAACTTTAGTTCCTAGAACCAAAGACATACTTATAGTGTAAACTTATATACATACTTATTTTGAATGGATGTCAATGGAGGAGAGGCTTCACAACAGCTTTTTAGAGGAAACAGCTTATCATTTAATGAATCGACAGCCTATCAGCTAATCTCCAACATGTTTTACTCTAAGCAATACTTTTGGATTGAACTATTTTTAGAGTTTACACAGAAAAAAGTGCAGTTTTATAAGAGAAGTCACTGACTTTTTGCGACAGGTGGGATACAGCTTACTGCATTTTTCATTCATTCCTATGGTATCCGTAAACAGCGATTGAGTGTTGCATAACTCTTTCTGAAATTCAATGACATCAAGGCTATAATGTGATTGGTTATTAAGGCACACGTGATCCAAGTTAACTGTTACGCTTTCTCCAATAGACCCTTTTTGTGCCGACGTCACACTTACGTCACAGCATTAGCTGGAGGCAAAACAAAGGAATAACTGGAGGCGGCCAATACAAACCAGAACAGAGTTGGCTACATTAGGAGCTTAAAATGTCATATTTGAGTGTCAGAATCGATGGAGTACAGTCTCCAATTTGAAATTTTATCACATACCTGCTGCCATTGCCAGACAAAAAACCGACGACAACTGTAATAAGACTGGACTGGACAGAAACGATCATCAAAAATGCTTGCGTTTGAAGTGCACACTTAATATCAGTTAAGTTTAAATAAACTGTTGTCTTTTATGGATTATGGTTTGGTTACGAGTCTAAAGATTTCTCATGCATGCCCACCTAATCAGAAATTGGGGAACAAGTTAACTAACGACTAGTGGCTAAACAAAAAGGAAACTGTTTGTGTCCTCGCGCTTTCTTCTACAATTGCCATAAGTGCAGTTGTAGAGAGAGGGAACAGTGAAGGCCCATGTTATGTGTCAGGTGTGTGTTCAAGTAGTTGCATTTGCTTACAATTGCCACTGTTGGTACATAGTCTAAATATCTAAATATTTATATGCCCTCAGTTTCTATTTACTATACACGCTCGGTTTCTCTATCTGGTAGGTGTGTCAGGCCACTCCTGTCAGATCATCCAACCATTGAGTGAGTGTGTACGAGTCGGCCAATCTGGTTCCTTCAGTTAAGAGTTAACATTTTCAAATAACAATTGCGGTCCCGGACAGTGAGTGACATTACATATTCAGATAAAATCGAATTTTCTCCAGTCAATGTTAAAAAACAAGCAAGCAAAACTTGCTAGCTAGCGTTAGTGAAGCGGTCAGGGGAATCTTATTGCCTCCACCTAAGCTCCGCCCATAAAAAAAACGTCAGAATGTTTACTAACTGAAAACGGGTCTATAGTAAGTAATACAGACCCTCTCATCTGCTAAGGCTACAGGCAAGTGAGTTTTTTTAATTGTTGGAGCTAAACTCTGCAGGACAGCGGCACTCCAGGACGATGTTACCTATTCTTGTTCTAGAGTGACCCTTTCATTGCTGTAACCCTAAAAACTGTGCACTGAAAGTCCATTTGACACTTTTAACCTCACTGTATTCTATAATTATGGCAAATTGCGCCCAAGATTCAAGACCACCTGTGTGACATGAATGACGGAAAAAAAAGACATAATGCAGCTACATTATATTTCTAAATGTGATTTTTGTTGCTGTTGGTGTTTAACTCATTAATTTTATTACTTTTTTTTTTAAATATCAAGTTTAACTGTAATTACTCATTTCAACAGTCATTAAATGAAAAAAAAAAAAAAAAACTCATGTAATCATGCTGTAACCCTAAAAACTGTGCACTGAAAGTCCATTTGACACTTTTAACCTCACTGTATTCTATAATTATGGCAAATTGCGCCCAAGATTCAAGACCACCTGTGTGACATGAATGACGGAAAAAAAAGACATAATGCAGCTACATTATATTTCTAAATGTGATTTTTGTTGCTGTTGGTGTTTAACTCATTAATTTTATTACTTTTTTTTTTAAATATCAAGTTTAACTGTAATTACCCATTTCAACAGTCATTAAATGAAAAAAAAAAAAAAAACTCATGTAATCATCATCACAATCACATCCTAACATCACAAGACAATAGGTCACTTAGCTTGACAACAAAATCAAGAACAATTTTGTAATTAAAACAATATTATATATTTCCAACAGGAACCAAGATGGTTTTATCGATCGTGAGGAGTTTGGGGATATTTTGCGTGCAGCTGGCGAGCCAGTGACAGATGAAGATATAAATGAACTCATGGCAGATGCGGACACAAACAAAGATGGGAAGATTGATTTTGATGGTAAAGCAAATCTTATTTATTCTATTTTTGTGCTGCCCTTATGCGGTAAATAAAGGTTCCAAAAGGATTTTTTTATGGGTTCATTTTGGGTTCCCTAAAGAACCTTTCAGTGAAGTTGTTAAAATAACCATTTTTTCTTAAGTGTGAAGAACATTTAAATAACCTTATTGAAGAACCTTATTCCACTATAAAGAATGTTTTTTTGGAATGAAAAGTTTCCGTGACTTTTTAGAGTATAATAAGGCATATAGATATAAATACACACAGCCTTCCTTAGGGAGCTCTAAAAAAACACTAGCATATTAAATATAATTTCAAGAAATGTTTATACATTCAGATTCAATATTATGCTCTTGGAATACAATATGAGGACTTGACTCTTATTTTCTATTTAAATACATGTGTATTACTGAAGTGTGATATGAGAGATCTTGTCATCATTAGGTAAATTAATCAAGTTCATTCTTCTGTCACATTCTTTTTCTTTTTGTGGTTGCAGAACTAATCAATGCATTATAACTAATCAAAGTATTATAACTCCTTTTAACTCTTCAATAACAATATAAACCTATTAAGTCTCCCTAACCTGAGGACATATGGATGGTAAAAGTGGAGTTCATTTGCATGTTCTCCACAGTGCTTTGTGATATAGAGCTATTAGTCATTCTATTATTCCTTCATGGAGTTCGAAATACTTTTTTTTTTTTTATTGCATATCCAAGGCCATGTGCTTGTCCATGTTTTTTTTTTTTTAAATGGTAAAAAGTTCTAAGAAGATTATTAATAAAAGAAATAGATAATTAGTGTCTTTACCACCTTCATGTCACCTAGAAATTATATGGACATTCAGTATACGTATGTCTAACAGTCTAACAATGTATGGATGTCAATGCATTAAATAACAAAATATCAAACCAATAGCTTAATTTTGTTAATTATGATAAAAGCACTAGCAAAGTTTGTCTGCGAGTTCTGTCTGATTTGATATTTTGTTATTTAATGCAGTGATAATTGTATGTGTGTGTGTGTCTGTATCTACAACATAAAAGTTTGTTCATGAACAGATGTAATTACACACATACTCATGGGGATTCTTTTTCCTGACCTCCACTTGTCAATGAGTTCTTTTGAATTTCAAGATGTGAGGGAAGACAAGCATTTTCTTGCAGAAATGTATAATCACAATAATTGAATACAAAGTATGTTCAGAGTGGAGAGGGTGTGAACAATGCCAGGAAAGGGGCTTGTATGTTATTTAATCCCTTTTTTCATTTTCATTCCAGAGTTTCTTAAAATGATGGAGAACGTCCAGTAAGAAAAAATTACATTCCATCTCTTCCAAACCGTAATGACAGCAGCCAAGACTCTCAAGAACAACCCATGCTGAGATCTTTAAAAGAAAAGAGGATCGAGGAAACACAACATCACCAGGGTTCAAATCGCTAACAATAAAGATGGGTTGCAATTCACTTTGAGGGACAGAGAATATTATAGATCAGTGCCGTCTTGTTGGAAATGTTCCTCTGGAACTGTGATGGTGTCTATAAATAACCCTTCAAACCTTTTAAGAGGAAACCACTCACGCCTCTCCCCTCAGCTGTCTCCTCCTACACCTGCTTATTCCCAAGACATTCACCAACCTTCCTTCAACCCCCTTCCCCTCTCCCTCACCCTTTACAGTGATTCAAAATAACTCTGCTACAGTATTAGCCTTGGGAAAAGACTTAATGTTGTCATGGCGATAAGGAACTTCTTTAGCTTACGTTATTGGTGTCTGCAAATCAATTAAAAAGGCACATCTTGGCCAATCTGCTTGTTTATTTGTCAATGGTTTACTGTGATTGTATTATCTAAAATTATACAGAATCTCTGTGTGTAAATAATTTACAGCATTAACATTTTTAAAAGTTAAATGCAATTTCATGCCTAAAAAAGGTTGTTATGAGGTCAAATATCACATTTCTATAAGCTGCAACTCATGTGATCTTCTTACCCACCTTGCCCATCATTTCACTACACCCAATCAGAAAAACAAGATCATCCCACCATGTTGGTTTCCAGTACCCCATGTCCAAAATACACAACACTTTGGCCGTCCAGTAGATTCATAGTGTTGTAGATTGTATTGATCTTTTCGCACGTTGATCTCTTCCGATATTTTTCATACTTACCCTGCCTACAGGACAGAGTCTTCACATGGCCAGAAAAGGTCATGAAAAAGATCAATTTTGAATCCTAATGTCAACCTTTTGTGCCAGGAGCATGCAAGTTATACATATACAAGATTTTCATGTTTTCTTCTCATAGTGGAAAGCCATGTGATCCTTTTGACACCTCGTTGTCTTCAGGTCATATTGATGGAGGTGTTATCTCATGCCAATGCTACAAATGCAAATCTCCAGAGTTGCAATATGCAAACTGTAAAACCGGACTTCTCTGCTCTCCTCAAAATCTCCTTTTAAATCACTCCATTTCTGCCTGAAAGTATATAGTCTGCAACCCCCTCATCCAAATTCCCCTACATCCTTCTCCAATCCACATCCGTATCATTCCTCGCTCAGGAAACACATCCCATACAAGGAAACTCGGGGTTAGGCTCTTGGGGTTTGGGGTACCTGTGTCGCCATTTGTGTTGTTGGGTTTTTGGTGGGGTGGAATGGAGTGGAGATCTAAACCATTTGCTATTCAGGGCACGCTGAAGATTTGCAACACAGCACCTTCCCAAGAGGTTTAGGGTTTCTCGGCTTGACTAAAGGGGGGTGGTGCAGAACACTATCGGCTCTCACCATTTTTAAAATGAATTTCCATCTGTACGCTACTTATTTTAAATCATTATGAGTCATTTTAGCTAATCAGTATGTTACTTTTCAAATTTAGTAGAAATTTTGAGGGGAATTAGTGAAAAGCAAAGTCTCAGGACAAAAGTCTGCAAGGATTTCATGCCTAAACATTAGTGTGGTCAACATTAACATGCAATTTCCACAATGAAATTTTACCAGACAATAAATAATTATTCTGTTGTGTCTTTGAACAGTTCTTCCAATAAATACAGGCTTTCTGACAATAAACACAGCAGAACAAAGAAGAAACCTTTTTCCTGTATTCCCGCAGACTGTTCTTAAAATGTACTCAATTCACATTTCTATTGGCTTATGGGAGCCGTCGAACCCTAAAAGTTAAGGATTCTAAATCTGGAGGCCTGTGGGCGGGTCTTGGGTGGTCTGTTTAAAGTGTGTCAGAACTGTCACTTGACGTCTAGTCTTTCTGTTGGGGTGTGAGCGCGTTGACCACTTCTTATTTCGTGGATATAAGTGAGGAGGCTAATCCACAACCATGGTAAGAGTTTAAGTAATCTATACGGTCAGTTTTGCTAAAGAACGCATGAAAACATAAAATGTGCAAATGGCCTAGTCAAAAAGTAATCAGAATTCCATTTATGTCATTATTAATAATGGGTAATATAAGGTTATAGTATTATTAATAGTTCCCTTGCAGTTTTGCATGCATTTAATAAAGCGTTATAATAATAATAAAAATAAGAAATAAAAATCAACCTAAAGATGATTTAATTTTGTAAATTTTTTAAATCTGTTTATTGTCTCTTTTACTCATTTTTATCAGACAATTGCTGTATTCTGGGCTCATCTTCGCCTGAGTGGAAATGTCTGATATAAACTGAGAGTAAATTTATTAGGTGTTATTTTTAGGTGACTATTATAGATTCAAATTTAACTGACTGCTAGTTAACTTGTGTTACAAGACCAAGGTTTCTCTCCAAAAACAACTTCTAAAAAAAAAAAATCTAAAAAACAAATGTCATTACCATTACACTCATTATGATAAATTCATCACACATTGCAGCAAAATCCACTGTAAAGTTACTCATTGCCATTTTTTTCTGATGTAATAATGTTTTTTTCTGATGTAATAATTAACATGGATAAAAATAGCTTGAAGGAGTTTCATTATTCCAAAATATCAAAATTATTCCTGAAAAATCATCCATGTATCTGTTAAAATATGAGTGTTTAAAAGAAGGGACGGTGGTCAGAAATCAGTAAGATGGACATCCTGCTATTTGATATGAATCTTGTCAGCCGGTTAAGTTAAGTGGGTTAACTAAATGCTGAGGTGACGCATTCCAAGGATCCTATTTCGGAATTACCATGTACAGTCACTGACTGCAAGGATAACATGTTGAGCCTTAAAATAGTCGCAAATTGTCTTGCAGGAGTGATCTGGGCACCATCTGCTGTTTGCAAGGCCTAAAACGCTGTCTTAATGCATACATATTAGGAAAACAAAAACAAATGACTCTCCAGAAGAATCAAGAATTTTTATCAGATTAATGCTTTGTACTGTTTATATCTGAAACTAACCTTTCATAATGTAACCGCTTCACAGACTGACGCGCAACAGGAGGCCCGCTCATACCTGAGCGAGGAGATGCTTGCCGGTGAGTCTATAAACAAACTGATAAAAAAGAATATATTACCAATATCCGAGCCCTTCTGTTCCTTTAAACCGTATGCGTCTATTTCAAAGAGTTCAAGGCTGCCTTCGACATGTTCGACACCGATGGTGGCGGTGATATCAGCACTAAGGAGTTGGGTACCGTCATGAGGATGCTGGGTCAGAATCCAACCAGAGAGGAGCTGGAAGAAATCATCGAGGAGGTCGATGAAGACGGTAAACAAAATGCCAGTTGAAAAAGTGGATACACAGGACTATGTAAGAGTATGGCCCGAAAAATACTCTACTGAAGCTCATTTTCGTGCGTTCTTGCGTTTTGAAATGCAACTACGCGTTGCATTCTCAGCGCTGCCGCAAGGAGCGCTAAAGTGAAAATTGGCGTAAATGTCAGTTATTTCTTTCAGGAAAAATACTGTCATCATGGCGGAGCAGCCGTTTAAAAAGTATCTTGCTAAGAAAATAAGTTAAAGAGCAACTTACTTTGAATATTAAAATCCCGTTTAAACTCAAAAATACATTGATGTAACTCTAACGTCAAGTCTGTGTTTGCTTGTTCATCGTCTGTCTTGTGTAAAGTATGTTTCTGGCCTACATGATGATGTCTACATACATTTTAACATAGTAATGATCATATCTGTTTGAATTTAAGCATAAAATACAAAAATTAAGATTGTAATAGCCAATGTACTTTTTACTGGGAACTATAGGCAGCGGATCCATCGACTTTGAGGAGTTCTTGGTCATGATGGTGAGACTCCTAAAGGAGGACCAGGCTGGCAAGAGTGAGGAAGAGTTGGCCGAATGCTTCCGTGTGCTGGACAAGTATGTCATCTGATATCTTCTTGTGTGCACCTTTTTTTTTTTTTTTATGTTACCCAGACTCACTTCAGCTTATGCAACACTATGAATCTGCAGGAACGGTGATGGCTATATCGACAGAGATGAGTTTGCTGAGATCATCCGCAGCACTGGCGAATCCATCTCAGAGGAAGAGATTGATGAGCTGCTTAAAGATGGTGACAAGAACAACGATGGCATGCTGGACTTTGATGGTATGATGGTTTATTAATTTAATTTCATTTATGAACACTAAATACGGTGTATGTGAAGTTAGATCAGGTATTGAAGCAACACCCATATCCCTTTTCCCTCAGAATTCCTCAAGATGATGGAGAACGTGCAGTAAAACAGAGACTCAAGGACATTCCTCTCCCCTCTCACCCCTGCCGACAGAAATCTTTACCTCTCAATGCCACTCAAATTCACTTTTCCCCTTTTGTCCTCTTTCTGCCTCCATCTCACCTCTTCAGAAGACAGACAGATAAACACCTGTGTGGGGTTTGCCAAGGTTGGGCTCCCCTCATGCAAGACCCAAGGAGCCAAGCTGTGGTGTGGTTCACAGGTTCATCATGTTATGATGGTGCTCAAGTTCACTAGAAACACATGCCATGGTAGACCCCATGTTTGTGGGTGTTTAGTCTAGATTTAGTCTAGATCAGCAGCTTGTTACCGCTGCATAGACCAATGCCAAACCACAACAACCACTTCACTGTATTTAATAACAAACGCTTGAAAACAGAATAAAAAATAAAACACAAGTTGTTTAGTTGGTCTGAAATTTTGATTTGTATGGTTTTGTTTTAATGAGTTTATCAATTAAACATTCTTTTTTTCTCCCGAGTCTCTGACCCCAATTAGTTGACTATTTCTGTATATACTAAAGACTATAACTAGTACTGTTTATGTAGCAGCAAAACCCAAACCACAAACTTTTATGAATATCACAGTGATATTTCACTTATGCCAATATGGCATTCAGTTTTATTAGACATGCTGTAGGAATAGCTCTCCTTCTCTATTGCACATTTACATTTTCAACATGACGTTCTTTGTGTGCTGCAAGTGTGTAAATCAGTAAATTGTGTCTTGTTTATCTGGTCAATGGCTGATGAGTATTATTTGCAAATTAAAGGGTTGCACACTAATAATGCAAATATAGCTGATGACTGAAAGTAGGTAAATTACACATCCCTCGTCTTTGTGAGATGACATACACTGGGGAACAAAACACTAAATGTTGAAAGAATACAGAGTATAATAATAATCTTGCACATTACTAACATGTCTTAATGTCATTTACACCTGCATGTCTAAGTTATAGTTAGAATGCATATTGTCCCTGAAAACTGAAAAGTCAGCCTCCCACTCCAAGTATACAAACATCCAAAGCAAAAATCTCAAGATGTCCCCAAACGCCATGCATTAGTTACATTTACATTACTAATGCAAATGTGTCTATGTTTTGTGTGTGTGTGTGTAATTGTGAAG